GTACCAATGATTCGATAGTTAAAATCTCCATAACTTTGATAGAATTAACGGTGATAGCCAAATTCAATTATGTAACACCGATCATTTTAAGATTTTGAGTCTTTACTTTAAACATTAAGACTTGGTTGTTTGAAGAATTAATATTTGAATGTTATATTTTAGATTCAATGTCCAAGTTTATGGTTCAAGATCATTTTAATTATTTATTTGCTTCTATGAGTTATATATTATTTTTTTGGAATTAAAAGTGAACTGCTCGAATACCTTACGCAATGCGCTACGCTATTTACGCTACGCAATATAAAGACCAAAGCGCGACGCATTGCGCGAGGCGCGTTTTAAAACACTGCCGAGCACCAACCAAGGAACACTAAAAACCACCTGTACTAAAGTAAATCTTGAGAATCTAAAGATACGAATGGCCTTTTAACTACATTCCAACCAAACCTAAAAAGAATTGCAACAGGTACTACTTCCAATAAGAAAATGTCCCGAGGATCTGATAATCTTAACAAAAGTTTACAGAAAATGGTACACTATGCAACGGAACTTTTGCAAAATAATTTGTTCCCTTAATCGCTAGTAACAAACTAATAACAATTATTGAAGACTGAAATGAGTTCCACACAATGAGAAATTACCTCAATATTATAAATACCGACTTTGCCATCAAATGAAGATGCTGATATGATTCCAGGAATCTTAGAATACCAGTGCACATCAAAATTCCAGTTGGTTCCAGTGGGCAATTCAGCCACAATCTACAAAAATAACTAATGACATCACTGCCCATTGGGGAAAACTTGACTTGAAGTACAAAAGGTCATTAAATAACAATCCGGAAAGGATAACTGCGTGCATAATGGAAACGAGAACGCCTCTGCATCAATGGAAGCAATCAATATTATACCTCTCCAGATACAGTGTCCCAGCATATAGTACGGTTGTCTTTAGCACAGGTAAGCAAATAAGAGCTGTCAATGGGACACCAAGACATACCAATCACACCTGATGCACGAGACACAGCACTCAATAAAGTTCTCATGGATAAATGAAACTATTAGTACAAAGGAACGGTCAACATACAACAAAAAATGGTTAACACTTAAAAAAGTAACAAGAACAACCAAAATGGATAGGAAGGGTGACAAATGCTTATGATTAAAAGTATCTCGGCTTATTAGCTGTCCCAGGTATCGGGTGAAAAAACCAAAAAGATTATCAGAGAATATAAGATGACAGGAAGAACAGTTGCTAAATATTTGAAGTTGTGCATGTTTGGTTCTTAAGGGAATCCAGACTTATTGATTAATTTTTCCAGCACAAGAGCTTGTTACAAAGTAAAAATGTGTCAGTGGGTATCAAATAAGATCTTCATACATTAACCTCTCTCATGAACAGATCCATCGCATGGTGTTTAATCAGCTCCCCAACATTTCTATTCTCCAATGGCACATGACACATGTTAAGTCCATTCACTATAGATTACAAAGCACCAAAATGATCAAAAAGCATGCAACCTCTCATTTAATTGGTGACTAAACTCCCACCTTACCATAGTCCATACAACATATAATTTTCAAGTCCAGACAAAAGTGCTATTGGCTCACCTATGTCCCCCCAAAGGTAAACTTTGAAGTTTGATCAAGCTATTATTCTCTAGCCTGTGCTATTAAGAGAATGTATTTCACATAAATTGACCAGGACATAATCATAGACAAACAGTACACAGTTCCTGTGGACAAATTCAACCTACATATATCTATTTTCCATGTTATGTAATGTTTTCATTATGAAAGTTCTATCCTTTTCAAGAGAGTAATTGGGACTTCATTGGGGTAACCAGATCTCTTCCAGCATAATTGGTTTTGAAAATTTTGGCATTGCAATCCCTCCACCATCATTATTGATATGGAAACACAAATTGTAGCAATCAAAGAGAACAATGTACACAAGAGCAAAGTTTCCAAGGCCTTTTTCATAAAGGCTTTGCTAAATCAAGTGATTCAGTTAACCTACAAAAATAAGCTACAATTTAGGCCATTTTTTTATATATAAAGCACTAAACACAATATAGGAGAATGATGAGAAAACATCAGACAATAGTTATCATCATTTGATTTTGAGAGAGATCAGAATATAAACGCAAACATCTGCAAGCTACTCCTTAAAAGATTATCATGTCCACCTTCAAAAATTGATATATTACTATACAAATCCACTTGAAAATTTCAAAAGATAAAATCAACTAAAAGAATGCAAACAATAATAGACTGTGAACTTAAAGATAGATAAATGAACTCCCAAAAATATAACTTACCTTTGGTGTGCCCGACAAATTCTTTTACTGGATTCATTATGTTGCGCATATCCCACAGCTGAAGATGAGATCATGAGAACATGCCAAATACAATAATCAGCTTCAAGATATAAAAAAATATCGACTAAAATCTAAGGGCAGATGTATCATACCCTCAGACAAGGTGCACTGTCTTCATCTGAAGCAACAATTAGCTGAGTGGTAACATCAGGGTGCCACTGCAACACAGAGCACCTCCTCTTAATTGAATCTGCGAAACTGCAAGGGACACATATTTGTGATCACAAAGAGGCAGAGACAAATGTCATTAGCCAGTGGTGCCAAGTGTAAAAACCAAGTATCATACTTGAAAGAAGTCAAAATATACCTTATAACTGGCTTTTGCTTCCTGAGATCCCACACCACTGAAATTCAGAAATCACTATTATTCCAATGCAAATGTAAATTTAAGTGCACGCAATCCCATTGACCAGAATCCTTCTTACCAGTTGTTCCGTTAAATGAAGTGGAGGCCAGTATGTGTTGAACCTTACTATTCCAGGACAAAAATGAAATTTCACCTTGTGTTGCAGATCCACTACCCTGAAGAACAGTTCAAAAAGTTTAAGTTTCCCGCCTAATTCTAAAAAAAAAATACGGGATAAGAAGATTGAAAGGCTTACGAGCATCAGACTAATATCCTAGAGCAAGCAATAAGATGACAATGGACAGGTACGAAACTGAATCCATATGTAGCCGAAAGACAAGCACATAGTAATAGCATGCGTGCACGTGGTGATGATTGTATAAAAAGAGTTAGCCCCTCATTTCTACCTCACTTCCTGGGGCTCAACAAGAATAGTGAGAAGAATTTGAGAGAGATTTTTGGCATTACACATGTGAGAAATGGTAAATCATTGCTCATGCTATATGAGAAAGGCGCTTGTGCCTACTGCCGCGCCACGGCAGGCATGCAGGGAGTGGCAAAGAAGCCGAAAGGTAAGTGCTACTGGTGCAAGCAGTCAGGACCAACTGCCCTCTCCTCAAGCACTCCTCAAGCAGGCGATGGAGGTAAATTATATGCTCGTATGGAAACAAAATGCTATATGAATCAATGTATACCTTGAGTGGTGGAAAATGACTTGGTTCTGCTGGTCTTGATACATCCCATATACAAATATCGCCTTCCTCAGCACCAGAAGCAAGATGGAGTTGGTTTGAGGAAAGAGAATTGAACTCTAAGCCCCGAACCTGAAGCAGCATGAGAACAACAATGTTTGATGCCCATCATTTTATCTGCCATAATTAAAAAGTAAAGGCAGTACAGCATATAAAATACAAAACAAGGTCAGATGCTTACAGGTCCCTTGTGCCGTGATAGGTTCACAACAAAAGCTTTCTCACTTCCATCAGAACCCCTTTTACTGGGATCAGAACTGAAGCAAATTAAAACAGGAGAACTTGTAGTCAGAAAACTAAAGCGTAGGAAGACATTATCAAATTACAGCTAACTACATGAAACTTGGCCGAATGCAAATAGCAATTGTTGCTGTTAGTAATGAATAGCATCATAATCAAGCAAGCAAAACCAAAATCCAAGCACCGTACAAGAGTGACTAAACTCGATAGAATCAACAATTCAGGAAATGAGAAGCAAGCCCAACAGTATTTTACAAGATCTCTGACCTACATAGAGTGCATAACTCATCTTTAATTTAAATTCATAGGTCTGCCCGTCTACCACTAAATAACACTATCACAGTTTCAGTTAAACCAATGCACACAACACAACCAAACCCTACGTCCACTAAAAAGGCTCAATCTCAGTTGATGTTATGAGAGGTTTATTTGCATCAATTAACATCCAAATCTGAAAAAACTAAACTTTATAAGTTCTAAGGATTTTTTTCAGGCTCTAAAATAAATTTTCTCTAGTATAGAATCCTATTTAGGTTTGAGTGTGACGTGTGAGGAAATTTTAAGATATCAAACCAATTCCAAGGTGTTGTATGATTCTCACAGTATATTCAGTAATAAACAGTAAAGCAGTTTTATTTCATTGTGAATGAGTGTATCATTGATTTCGCCAATTCACAAATAATCAGGAACCACAAACAAGTGATAAAACAAAAAACACCACTGCTCTCTAATTCAACCCCGCTGAAAGTTATAGCCTTTGGTATTCTCTGGTGTTTAGTCAGGCCACAGTTCAGCAGCAGACCAAGTTTTCTATTTTCCTCAGATATAGAGTTCTTGGGTCATATGGGAAACACTTGGAAAAAAAGTAAACAGCATCCAATTAGCATTTGACTCCATTTTCATTCGATTACAAATATTCATCAACAAATTCGTCACCAGGAATTAAAATCCAAGCATAGAATCACCAAATATGCCATCAACACTCAAATGCAGGAATCATACAATCGCCCAAAAGATGTTTGCAGTTAGCGACAAGAGAAACAAAGTGACCCCAAGTAACTAGAATTCACCAGATCAGGTGCTTCGGATTCCAAATCCCAATGTTGCCATCAACAAGGCCACCGGCGACGAGTCCAAGGGAATACTCTTCCGAATTCGCGGGGTCCTTTCCCCAGGAAATCCGATTGAAGCGCTCAGAACTCGGGACAGTGCCTGCCAGGATCAGCTGTTGATCGTCTGACACGAAATCAAGCTCGAATATATCGAGATTGGCGGATGAGCTGAATTGCAGATCCACCGCCCCCGCCATCGTTCCAGCGGCGATGTACGCACCGTCCGGCGCGAACGCCGTCGACGCCGATCTGTTCACCACCTTAATATAACCCGCCATTGCACCCGCAAATCTATCAATCTATGTATCCGAGGAAGGGGATTTCAACATAAATGAACCGATAAACGACCTGAGTAGATCTGTATATGCAGAAAAATTCGAAGTCGATCGAGAGAGAGGGGGGCTTTGTCTCTCTACAACCTTTTATGTGAGTTCCTAATTTAGGTTTTGATGATTTGCCCGTCTTATGCACTTACAGTGATTTTACGAGGAAGGCAACGAGGTTTTACATACCAGAGTGGGGGCATAACGGGAATTTAGGTGCCCCTATAAGATTTGTCAGCTAAGAGGATTCTTTCAAAAAATATACAAGGAAGTAAGAAATAGACACAATGTAGAAAAATATTTACTCCAATACAAACGTAATTAGATTGAGTCCTGCAGAGGTGGCAACAAAAATATGAGACTCGGTCTATCCTTGAGACTATTTTAGACTCAAATAGACACATAGTCTCTTTGCATTGGAGTTAATTTCATTAATTTTCAATATTTTTGTTCATGTCATCTAAGACTTAAGTCTATTTACATGTCATGTAAGTAACACTAGACTCAAAGAATTGTACATGCTCTTAAGCTATAACATAGTGCACTACGGAAATGTGACTTCCAATGAACGGACGAAATTGCCCCCATCTGCCTTTTTTAGTAAGTTTTAGTGGTGGGTCTCATTATGTGTTTTCTACTTTGAAAAAATCTTAACAAACTATAGGCCACGTGTTATTCACATTTGTAGCACCCCATTTGTTTCAGATTTATTTGAGATATTTTAATCATTTTATTTTATTCAGATTTATAATTTCAGGCTCGATTAGTTAATTTCTATGTGATTAATTGACTTTATATGCTTGAGTGTATTTTCATTATTTTCAAGCCGAATAGTTAAATTATTTTCGAACCAATAATCGAATCGAGTCGGACCTTTTATTCGATCGCACGTAATCAACTGGGCCTCTTCCCAGCCCATGCGACTTCCACGCCAATAGGCCGCCCATACGTCCCGAGCCCGAAGCCCCCGCGCCCCACGCTCGCCCGGCCTGCATGCGCTGCCGACCCGTCCAAACCCTTCCCTCCTCTCTTGTGCATGCATGTGCATGACTTTTGAAATTTGAAATGTAACTTCCTACTATTTAAAATCAAATTTTATTCCTTAGTAACTCCTCTTAATGAGCATGATGAATACATGGAGGTTACATTTAAATACTTTAAGAAGAGAAGACCATCTCTTTTTCTTTTACTTCCCACCCTTTCACTTCTCTTCTATCTCTTGAAATTTTCAGAGCTTGCTCCCTTCCCCTCTCTTAATATCTTGCTGGAAATAATTTCTCGAGTACTAGCCCTCGACGCCCGGCCACCCGTTGCCATCGCAAGCGCCGTCCGCGCACGCCTATCGCCGAGGCCACGCACACCCCGCCAACGAGAGCAATCCGCAAGCCTGCTGCTTCCGCGACCCATTGCACCTTCGGACCTTTGCCTTTCGACGAACACCAGCGAGCCACCGGAGACCACCTTCACACGACGTGCGAGCCGCCTTCACGCCGAGCACGTGGACGATTTCCTCGCCCCAGATTGGACCGTTTATCGACCCCTCTTTAGGTGTTTGGTAAATTGTTACTAAAATCTTATATTAGAACTTGTTATGTGCTATTGTTGCTGTTTATGTTAGTTGTAGTAATTATTTGATTAAATTATGAATTATTATGTTTTAATTTTAATGTTCAATATTGGATCTATAAGTTTTAGTAGTGAACATTTAAGATCTGATCAAAACTTGTGGCCAACTCTTGGATTATGGAACATCTTCTTGTCCTGAACACAATGGCTTTGGCCTTGTGCAATTTGGACTTATAATTTTTGAGTTATATATTTTGAATATTATGTATGTGCTGAAACTTGTCCAAAAATTCTGAATTTTTAATATGTTTCTCCTGTGATGTACATTGACTTTGTGTTAAAATTTCGTAATTTTTGGGGTTGAATTGTTAGGGTAAATAATTAAATGTTCGTTTCTGCTGAATCTTTGATAAATCATATAAAATTGGATTTTTATTATAAATGCATGAAACTTGGTTATTGTGCTTATTTTATGTGATATTTGATATAGTAAAAATATCAGAAAAATTGAGATTCAATAAGTTGTGTTTTTGTTAAACTCGGGTTTTTGGCTGAAACTTGTTTCAATTTTCATAAATTACATGTTTATGTTTAAGTCTGGAATTTTTATATGTTGCTCTAAGAATGATGTATTATTTGTAATAAGAATTTGAAGTATTGAAACGTTGATATGATCAGATGTTAAATTTATGTTCAAAAATGCTGATTATTTTCATTAATTTTTATAAATAGCATAATTATGTGTTTAGGCTGAAAATTGGTGAATTGTCTTGGTTTAGCATGTAATATCATGTGTTCAAATGTTGGATTAAAATTCGTTAGGATGGCTGGTCATCTTGATAACGTGCCCTACTTGTCCTAATTTCTCAAATATTGTTCATATTTTTCAAATGTAAAATTTGGTGAAAATTTTGTTATATGATGTTATTTATTTCTGAATAATATGTATTTAAATTTTGGAGTCAAACTCTCGGGTAGACGTTGAGGAAAACCCGAGAGATGCCGTAAGGAGTGCTGTCGGCCAGCAGGCGCCCGGCAGTGCACCAGCGCCCAGCAGCTCACGCGAGCGCCTGGCAGCACGCGAACGCTAGCAGCACCTGGGAGCGCCCAGCTGATGAGGAATCGTGATTCGTTGTCTCGGTTGTGAATAATCGCGCACAAATGGCCTTCAACTAGACACGATAGGTGTGACTTCAAGACGCACTAATGGCCTTCTCTTAGACACGGTTGTATGATAAACACGCATTGATGGCCTTGCTTAAACACACGAATGAACAAAACGTTCATTATCTATTAACCACTCAATCATATGAAAAACAATGGGGAAGACCCCTATTTATAGATCCTAACAAATCTAGTCCTACTCTTGCTAGATCTCTTAATTAAAAAATAAAATATTAAATCATAAACATATTAGATCTCCTAACATCTTCTACTAATAAAATCCTAATATAACTAGAACTCATAAAAGCAACAAGGAAATAAGTCTTGATCTCTAAAATCTCCCTTGCTTGCCTTACACTCCAATCGGCCGCCTCTCTTCTAACCTT